TGAGGGGCCAGGCCCACCCTCGGATCTCTTCTCCAGGACCATTGGCCTGCTCGCTGTCCCCTCCCCGTGGGCAGGGCGTTTGCCTGTCCTGTGTCCTGCACTTTCCCCGATGCCTGGAATTATTCCTGGTGGGAAGGAAGGGCTCGGCAGTAGTTTTTTAATAAATGAATGAATGGACAAACGTATGGATATGAGCCCAGTCTTTCTCCCCTTTTCACAGGCTTCATTTCTCTCTGCTGTTCCCCTTCCCCGGCTCCACCCCTCCGCTGCCCCTCACACCTGCAGAGGTCCCCTGATTTCCAGGGCGCTCTTTGGGCTGTGTGGTGGACACCACAGGTAGCACGAGACACTTGCTCCTAATGTGCTGTCGATTTCTCTGGAGACTGAGAAACCACACCGGGGGTGGGGGTGGGGAGCAAATGAGGCTGTGACCCAAATTCTACAACAGAAAACGAGGGTGCCCGGGTCAGCGCGCAGGAGACCAGAGGTATTGATGTAAGGGTGGTGATTTTCCTGTGATTAAATCCAGCACCTACGGGTCTCCCTGAGGACACAGTTCTGCCCCTTTGACTTAAGTAAGGTTGGCTGAGGTTGCTGCAGCTTTCCTACTCTGATGCTCATTGTCCAGTGACTGCAAGGTCACAGGCCTCCCGTGGGAGGCACACACAGCGTGCACGTGTGTACCTGTGCTCATGTGCACAAGTGTTTGTGCTCGATCAGAGAGAATTTTGATGTCAGTGTGTATGCATCTAGTGACCCTGGAAATCCGGTGGCAGCTGTGTGTCTACATGTGTCTGTGTTAAGATCTGGCCTTAGGCCGCCTGCAGCTGAATTACTCACTTGCAAGAGGGACCGAGTGGCTTCTCTTCATTTCCTCACTTCTGCTGTCCTGGCATTAATAAGAGCCATCCTTCACTTTTGTGCTGATCTTTGGAGAGCGCCAACCACTTCCACGCACAATTTCTCATTTCATTCTGATAACCACGAGCACAGGCAAATTACCCTCCTTTACAGATGAGAAATTCCCTATTGCCTTCCTCAAGGAAAGCAGCCGAACCCTTCCTGGGAATGAATGACTGGGCCGCTGACCCCTCCCTTCCCACCTCCCTGGGGCTCCGTCTCCCCCATTTGGAGGGTCCATTCACCCAGGGCCTGGCTCCCACCCTCCGACCCCTTCCTCCCCATGCCCAGCCCCTTCCTGGTCCCCCTGTAACAAGCAGACTCCTTCGTGTTCCTCTCCTGTTCTCTGCACCGAAGTCCTCACTTCACACTGGTTCCCTAACCCTCCACCTCAACACACTCTTAAGCAGCTCCCGTCAGTTACCTGTTCATCCTTAAGCCCAGCTGCCTCCTCGTGGTGTTCAGCCCGCTGGAGGGGACACCTGCATTGCGTGACAGGGCCACACGCCCATTCCTTTTGGTTTCTCATCAGTCCATCCTTCTGGTTTTCTTCCTTTGGCCACCTAACCTTCCGGTGGCCTTCACTGGCCTTTTAGAAACACAGTAATTGGGTTCCTCCCTTTTCCGTCTCCGTATAATCGTATAATTGGGGTGGTGTCAACTTCTCCCCCAGATGCTCGTGTACATGGTGTGTATTTCTCTCCCTCATTCATCTCTCCCTTCTGAATGCAACTCTCTGCACCCTCTAGAGATCTCTGTTGGGTGTTCAAGGGCCCTCAAGCCAACAGGTGTACAGCATGAGACACCTGTGTCTAGCTTTCCTTTTTCTTTCTGCCAGATATCTTGGTGACAGCAAGACAAACAGACAGAGAGCCCTAACTCAGCCTTTCCCTTCTTTGCCGTATTCTGTCTCTTCTCATCAATTGATCACCTTCTTATCCTGTTTTGTCTTTCCTTGAGGTGGGGCCCACAGCCTGGTGCATTCAGAGGCTTCACATAATGGATCAACAGATAAAAACATGCACACAGTTGAGCATCAACATGGTTACACATACATGTCTAGATATGTCTATGTTGTGTGCTTGTCAGGTGAAGCAGATGCCATGGCTCCTACATGGTGCCAGTCACAGAGAAGGATGTGGCTTCAGGGCACCCAGACCTGATCTGACGTAGACACAGCAGCAAATATAATGGTGCACATTTGGCAATAAACACATAGTTATAGATACACACGTAAATCACAGAGACAGAAGCAGAGCCACAGACACAGAAGCACAAACATTTGTGTCATGGATAAATATTTATGGAGGTTCCTGCCATTTTAAGGCAAAAATTGAGGTGGGAGATAAGGGATGTTCTGGCTCCAGGCATTCCTGCAATGGGTCCACTGTGGTGGGCTCAGAGGGTCCCGTGCACGTGAAGGCATCTCGAAAATTGGTCTTGCCTACTCCTCATCCCCCTTCCTTCCAGACGCTGCTTTCCATCCTGAGACGCAGAGCCTCCCTCTTCCTTCCTTAAGACACCTTAGATCCCAGGACTGACGCAGTAGTGTTTCTTGTCAAACTTCTGGGATGATGTGACAGTCAGGGAAATGGACTAGCAACTGTGGGTCGGCGCACCCTTAGCAGGCGAGCTGGGAGGACAGCAGAGGAGTGGGGACCCAGGACGTGGCCACTCTGTGCACCATGAGGACAACGTCACCCACTGACAGACTTGCAGACACAAACAAGGGAAAGTTTGCTATTGACCATACAGTATGCTTTTTCATTATTTTAGATACATTTACACATACATTGTCATAGGGAACCGAAGCCTGCGTTTGTTCTGTCACAGAGCCGAATCACCAATCCCTTGCATTTGCATGAAACTTCAAATCTTCCAAAGTACTCTCCTAAACATTCTCTCAACTGATCCTTAAGATTTTTTATTATAAATGAGATGCCCATATTGCACCATTTTTACGTATTTTCTATTCTTTTGCTGTCCCCTAATAAGCCAACAGAATCGTCATAGATGTCAGACATCGGTGTTTTATGAGTGTGACCCACTCTGGCCACGGTCGTCTTGCTGTCTGTTCTATTCTCTTTATCTCAGCTGTTTTTCTTGGCCAGCCTGGGTTATTTTTGGTTTTTCTTGCTTGGTTGATTGGGTCTTGTGCTTGTTGTTTTAACCCTTCTTATTTTTTTCTTCCCACTTACATATATACACACTCCAGGTTTCTATCTTTGCCTGAATGTTGACTCTCTGGTTTTCCTGGACACCAGTCTTTTATTTGAACTTCTCTTCATTGAGATTTTGAGTGTTTTTCTTCTATGTTTAATATAGTTTATAAATTAGGTGCCTGCTATGGTATTTTATGTTTTCCTTCACATTTTATCCTATATATTCTTTCCGCTATCTGGGTAAATTGAGCAACTAACATAGTCTCTTTCCTACCTTGACATTCCTCATGGGTTAAGGAGAACTGGGACTTGTAACGTTTATTGCAAGTATTACAGGAGTCGCATGTAGAGCGCCTAGCACACTGGCCAACACGCACTTAAAAATTGTTATTATTATCAAGAGGTTGTGGTGGTGATGGTGGAAGCAGTCAAATGACGACAGGAGTGGTCAGGACGTGGTCTTCACCACCACCTCATTGGTAAGCGCCTAGTCGTGTCTTCTGCTGATGGACCCAGATTTAACCTTGTCCTGCAGTTGAACATTTAGGTTACTTGCATTCTGCCCTTTATAATTAATGTCTCACTAAACATCTTCCTGAATTCAGTTTTATTCTCCTTTTGAATTTAGCATTTAGATGTATTCCTAGGAGTACAATTATAGAGCGAAGGAACGTGTACATTTGTAAGATTCTTCATAAATAAATATTGCCCGATAGCTTTCTGCAAGAGTGTCATTGGTTTACATTCCCACCAAAATCAAGAGAAAAACAATTTATGGAAGCTTTCAAAGCTTTAGCTGGTCCTATTTCCTGTTGGAATTTCTCTTATATAGATTTTTCCTTTAAAACTATGAGATGTTTTATACACTGCATACATATACATACACACACTTCTTTGGGGTGTGGATCAGTGATGGTATTTAAATATCATTTGCCACATGATTTTGATAGGAACCTGCTGTCCAAAGCTTGAGAAGCTTATTTTAGATGACACGTAAGATCATTTTAGTGATGTGTGGCATTGAATGAGATAGATTTATATATCAAAAATGATATTCCATTCTTATTTGCCTTTGGTCCTCTGATCAGATCAAGGAGAAAGTCTCAGCTTGGTGCTAACAACCCTGTAACACCCCTCTACCCCTTTCTTCTAGTTCTTTAAAAAAAAAGAGCATTCCTCACCCATAGGATTCCAGCTCAAATTTAATAACATTATTTGGTCTCCAATATATTCATTTTTATGTGTCCTTAACTTTCTATGAAAAGAAATACTGGTACTTTATTTAAAGTAATGATAGCAAGTTTCCTTTTTTGCACACAGTCATTTAATTTAATTTCAACCCCGTCTGCGAGTTGCGGATTGGGTGGGAATCCTCACAGTGCTGTCCCAGTGATTCCGGTTGTGACACTGCGTGGGGAGTGCATTCCAGCAGTCATCCCACTAAGAATGACAAATGGCCCTTGAAAAATCACGGGCTAAGGGTCTCCGTAAGGCCTGACATAGTTTGGAGCTCTGTGGTTGCCCCGTCATCCCTATTCATTTGTGAGTGTAAAGACCTTGCAGTTGGCCATGAGGAGAGTCACTTTTACATCCAGCAGGTTCTGTGGGTTAGTGACCAGGTGAGTAATTTCCTCACTTGGCAGATTAAGAACGGGATACGCTGGCACTGAAGGCTGTGCAGACCAAGACTGACGGTGTGAATAGAATGATTCAGAAGATGGGATTAAATAGCTGAATGATAGTCATTGTGAATCGCAATGTCAGCTTTAGTGTGATTCTAACGATGTACTTGCTAACGCTAATGAGGTTTGATAGAATAAAATTAACAATGTCCAAACAGCTGTATGCTTTCACAACAAAGGAACCGTATCTCAGAGCACACTGATACATCCTTTCCAAGAGGATTTTGTTCGATTAATTTTGTTTTTTCTCTTTTAGGATATATTTAAATTTGCAAGAACTTCTCCTGTTCCAAGACAAAAGAGGTCCATCGTGGTGTCTCCCATTTTAATTCCAGAGAGTCAGAGACAACCTTTCCCAAGAGATGTTGGCAAGGTAAGTAACACAAAAGACAAATGAAAAAAAGCATGTTTTTATTAAAAGACTAGCATTCACACAGCAAGCTGACGACTGCCTTGCAGACCAGTTCGAACTGGCCTCAGTTCTTCTATACGAGGCCAAATTGTTTTGCCAAGAAAAGAATGTCAAAAGGTCATCAAACAAAGAAAAAAAAAAGACTTTACAGAACAGAATAACACTTTTGAATATCATGATTTGGAGATCTACATGGTAGATAATGATGTTAAAATTGGGTCAAGAGGATGTCATTGGTTAAGGAATATTCACTGTGAAATGGGCAGAAATACTGATGTTGTCTGGTCAGCACATTCTTTCCCCATAAGAAAGTTAATACGGAGAATCAAATTTTAGCCAGTTTGTATTTTTTGGTGATCTTGAAATTTGAACAGTAGTGGTTAGTTGCATGAATGATGTTAATGGCTAGCGCTATTGGAACATTTATTCATTCATGAAATAAATCAGGAGCACCTGTGATGTGCCCAACTCCAGGCTTTGGTACTAGATGAACAAGCACAGAAGCTCCTGTTGTGATAGGGCTTTTATTCTGGTGGGGAGACAGGTATTTCAGTGAGTAAATAAAGAAATTTAAAAACTGCAGAGGAGAACAAATGCCGTGAGAAACAGAAGCAGGACAATGTGGAAAAGAGTAAATGGCAGGATGAGGGAGAAGAGAGAGAAGAGTGCTCAGAAAGGCTGGCCAGGGCTCTGACCATTTGAGTGGAGACTGGAAAGATGATAAAGGGTCGCCATGGGAAGAGCTGACTGAGCTACATTCTTGGCAGAGGGCACGGCATGTGCAAAGGCCTGGAGGTGGGAAAGAATGAGGCCTGTCTGAGGAATGGAATGCCAGGGTGGCTGCAAGCAGTGAGCAAGGGAGCAAGTGATGACTTGAAGTCAGAAAAGCTCACCTGTCATATGGGCCTTGGGGACCATGGTGAGGAGAAGGAACTGTGTCACGTGTGCAGCAAGAAATCGCTGGAAGGTCCCCTGGGTGTGTGTGTGTGTGTGTGTGTCGCAAGTTCCCTCTGACCGTCTTGCAGGGAGTGGTGGAGGAGTAACACAAAGATGCCGCCGAAAGGGGGGTTTTAGAGTGATCTGGGCGAGAGGTGAGGGTGACTCCGACTGTTAGAAATCTATTTCTATTGTAAATCAGAAGCGTTAATAGCCCAGTATCCTGGTAATCACCATATTTATGATCTTAAACTACCATTGCGCCAAAGATGCCTTTCTTCAAGCAAAATCTTGCCAGGAGTGCAGGGTCTGATGCAAAGGGAATCAGCTGCTCGGATTGAGCAGTGGTGGCTGATGAGCCTGCCCCTGTGGACAGCTCTAGCTACTGTGACGGCCCTCGCACCGGTCTCCTTGAAGCCAGGATGGCACTCGCCAAGGGCCAGAGTCCTCAAGTCTCAAAGGCTCTGCCCCACACAGTTTCAGAGACACAAGGTGCAGCCTTCTGTCGGTAAGCCCAGCATTCCCAGCCCTGGCTGCACATCGGAACCACCTGAGGCAGTTGAAGTACAGACGCCAGGCTCCACTCTCTGAGATTGGTTCCGTTGGCCAGGGAGTGGTCAAGCACCAATATTTTTTCTTAAATTAAGGTATCATGAATATACAATCCTATGAAGGTTTCACATGAGCAACATTGTGGTTTCAACATTCACTCATATTATCAAATCCCCCCCCCAACCCCATTGCAGTCATTGTCTGTCAGCACAGCAAGATGCTATAGAGTCACTACTTGTCTTCTCTGTGCTGTACTGCCTTACTGTGACTTCCCTATCTTGTGTATGCTAATTATAAAGGCATCAGTATGTTTTTAAAAGATCCCAAGTGATTCTGATCTGCAGCCAGGGTTGAGAACCACTGTTCTAAACTAGTCCTACCTTAAGAGTGGCAATGGGCTGGAAGCATCACCTGGTTGCTCTCTAAAAAGCTATTCCCAGGAACCACCCCAGAACCACTAAGCCAGAATCTCTTGGGATAAGGCCACGTCTTCTGGATAATTATGATACACACTCAGGTGTACAGAGGTGTGATCTGAAATATGTTCTCCTCCCCTGCCTGTCACTAACATCTGTTACTTTCAGTATGGAAGTTTCAACTCCATTAGTTAGGCTATAACAAGAGTTTCGTACATCTCACTTGCCTAAAAAATTGGTTGTCCTCGTGTAATTATAATTAGCAACACCTTTCCCCTTGAACATGTCCAGATTTGGACAATAAACTATGTGTCATCTTACAGCTTCCTTCAGTCCCACACATTCATTCCCGTAAGTATCTTGGGGTCATTTTCCCAAGCCTCCTTCCCTGAGATGTAAAATGAATCAATGAGTGTGCAGCTAACCGCAGACATTCTTCGGCATTCTCACTCGTTATAGCTTCAAAACACAATATCGTCTCCAAATTGGAGATGCATCTCTCCTTAGCCCCCTGTGCATTGCCCACATGGGCTCTCAACCTGGATTTCCTACAAAGCAACTACTTTCTTAAGTGTGATAGTCTGCGAACGTCATGATGTGTGAAAGTCCCTCAAACCTCCAGAGAGCTTTTGCAGAATGACTGCACTGCCTTGCAAAAACTATTTGCACATGCTTGCAATGCCTTTGAAGGAATGTGTTTTCCTCTGTGTGCCTACTTGTTTTTATTTATACATCTTATCCTTTTCTTTGTATCTTATGTCTGATCGTCATCAACTCCATCAGTGGCTGACAGGTGGTGCTCCACAGAGCTGTGAGAGAGCATTAGGTGTCTTCAGAGGGTCCTGGGGAGGTGGAGGGAAGGAGAGGAGGCCGAGGAGGCAGAGCTCTGGCCTCCATGTATCACCCCCCACCCGAATTCTGAGTCAGGCAGCTCTAATTTTATGAATATTACACGTCAGACTTCAGTGTAGAATGCCACTTGAGGAAGAAATTCTGTGTTTATAAGGTATAAAGACAATTGTCTTTACCTGAAAGGGCATAAGGTAAAAGGACACTTACTTTTGGTTTCTTCCAGAAGCTGGCCCTGAACCATGAATTGCATCGCAGGTATTGTTTAGGTGGTGAGGGGAATACTGGTAAGGGAGTGAGGAAGTGCGACAGGGAAGGGAGAGCAGCCAGCTGAGAGGCAGCTACCACAGCTGGCGTTTGGCTCATAACCCACGGGGAAATGCTAGGAATGGTGTGAAGCACACACACTCTCGTGGTTAGCCCATCCACAAGGGAGGGAGCTGGGGTATTTATACTCCAGCCCCATCAGTCTTTGGTTGAGGGCCATTCCCTAAGGTGTAAATTCTCTAGCACATCCAGCCTGCTTTGTGCTCTGCACATGGGCACAATGGCCTTTCGAGGCCTGGGGGAGAGCCTTCAGTAAAGAGATGCCACGTGGCAGCAGGGAGTCTGCCTGCGGGCACTGAAAGGCTAAGGTCGCAGGGATGGGCGGGGTGCTGATGGGCTCTGTCCATCACTAAACTTGATATAAATACTTTTGCTTTGCAGAATAGGTTTTCTCTGTCTGTCTCATCCTTTCTCCCACCTCATTTCCTAAACAACTTGTGTATTGTGCCTCTGAAGCTGACTCTACTTGCCTCTCTCTGTCAGTAAGTACTCTCTGTATCCCAAGAGGGAAAAGCTCAGAAATTCAACACAATTCAGGTCAGCTAGCAAATATTCATCATCTGCTATTCACAAGGCACTGTGCTAGGGGATGGGAATTTAATGGCAAAGGGAAACAGACAGGGCTTCTGATCTCATAGGATTGCAAAAGAGAAGAACCAAATCATCACAAATTCATTATTTGTCCAGTGGTGTGAAGTATAAGCACTTTTCATCTGTTGTGTTGAATTCTCCTAATAACAACCCATGAGGATCACCTTCCAGTATGCTGAATCAGAGGAAGGAGTCTTGGACGATAAAGTGACCAGCCCAAAGTCACACAGTTGGTTAACAGCAGAAACAAGCCCTGTGCCAGCTTTTTGAGATTTCAAAGTCTGTGCTCTTAACCAATATGCTCAGGGCTGCTTAGTGCAGTCTGAGAATTCTCTTCCATGAAATGGAATATCCTTGTTGACAATTATGCTCTTTAAACAAACATTAAGATTAAGTTTAATGATTTGAAATACGCCAAAAATTAAGATGGATAGGAGGATGGATCAATGAATAGATAAGTGGTAAAGAAAGTACAGCAAAACGTGAATGGTAGAATCTAGGTGATGCACATGCCGCCAGTCACTGATGACTTCTTTCAATGGTTGCAGTGTGTTTGGAAATTTCATAATACAGTGTTTGACGAAATAAGGTTAACTGCAAATGAAATTATTATGAAAGACACAAGAGTTGGCATGCTGGCACAAAGGTACCTTTTAGTTTGCCTTGTACTTTAAGAGGATGAATGAAGATTAAGTAAATATCTAATTTACTTGTTTTCTTTTTTTTGTCATATTTTATCACAATCCAAATTCCTTTAAAGAAAGGAGACCCACACACTACAGAATAAAGACACCAAAAAAGATCTACAACAAATGTGCCCTCCATGGGGGATTTTTCTCAGCCAACCGTGTAAAATTGTAGATGCACAGAAAGACTCTGTAGGCAGCTCTAGGGATTAGACAGTTTTGGCTGATATATAATTTATCTATCTGCCAAATAATTAGTTGCTAAGTAGCTAAATTGTTAGAATTTGGTGGCTGCTCTCCCGTCATCTCTCTTAATGTTTCTGGAGAAAGAGTAAAACACCCAGTTGTGAACACACTTCCCCAAGCCTGTGATTTCCTTCCCGTTTTAAACCATAGACAGCAGGAAGGATCTGGGAGTGTGTGCCCTGGAGAGAAATGTGCAGTTCCCACACATGTTTTTATTTTCCTCCCCCTTCAAAGTGTGACTATTTCAAATTTGGGCTATAAATAATTTCTTAGTTTTACCAACTTTCGCTGATAAATATTTGATTGCATCTTTAGAGATTTTTGAGTTCTTGAGCCTGATTGATTGAGAACAGGGGGC